CAAAGGTCACCAAGCCCAGTTGCTGTCAGGAGCAGAGTGTCTCGGTGTCCACGCTGGCCACCAGCAGGCACGCGCACGCCCTCCCTGCAGCCTTGCCTCACGTGCTCCTGGGCATCTCAGTTGAGTTGGCCTCAGGTTTCCAGGTGAGCGCCAGGCCCCTCCAGGGTCCTCCAGCCCCGGGACACAGCTGGCGTGAGCTGGGGCTTCTGCTCCTCTGAAGGGGGAGCCTGCACCCCACACTCCTCTCAATCATCATTGTCCCTAACGTCCCCTGTAATAATTCTTCTCTAGGGGGCACTGGGCCAAGGGAGGCAGATCCACCCCTTATATTGACTGGGGTGCCGCTGCAGTGCATGCCCACTTGTGTGTGTGTGTGTGTGTGTGTGTGGGCATATGTGGGTGCACACTTAGGGGGTGGACCCTCCAAAGGATCCGTGTATGTGTGAGTGTGCATGAGTGTGTGTGTGTGTGTGTGTGTGTGTGGTTGGTTGCGTGCATGCTTGACTGTGCATGTGTGTTAGTATGAACAAGTGTGTGAGTGTGTGTGTGGTTGGTTGCATGTGTGCCTGACTGTGCATGTGTGTTAATGTGTACAAGTGTGTGTGTGTGGTTGGTTGCGTGTGTGCCTGTGCATGTGTGTTAGTGTGTACAAGTGTGTGTGTGGTTGGTTGCGTGTGTGCCTGACCGTGCATGTGTGTTAGTGTGTACAAGTGTGTGTGTGTGGTTGGTTGGGTGTGTGCCTGACCGTGCATGTGTGTTAGTGTGTACAAGGTGAGAGTGTGTGGGTGGTTGGGTGAATGTGGGTGTGAGCATGTGTGTGCAAGTCTGTGTGTGTTGGTGGGTGTGCTTCAGTGTGTCGTGGGGTGTGTGTGTGTGTGTGTGTGGTCAGAGCCAATGGTCTCTGATGGCACAGTGCCTGCTCCAGCACCAGGCAGGCCAGGTGGCCCTGTGGAGGGGCGCACCTCGCCGCACTCTGGGGTGCTGCAGCCTGGCTTCTGATGAGGCAGAGACATCGGTCCTGAGAGGCGCCTGTTTTGTGGGTGGAATGACTCCAGTCTGCTTCTCCGGGCAGGCTTGCCCACAACGGGGACCTGTGCCCTGCCTGGTCACTGGTGACACCTGCTCTTCGTCTTCAGGTGCCCAGCTCTGACTGCAGCAGGAATTGGCTCCAGGTTCAGCCAGACCCCCGACAGGGAGCCCCTCATTGCTGTTTCCAGGGCAGCCCCTGCCTGAGGGCCAGTTTGCAGACCACACAGGTGAGGGTGGGAGGAGGTGAAACCAGGGCCGTGCCCTGCTGGCCTCTCAGGTTCCCGGTCCAGGCAGCTGTGGCACACAGCCTTTTTGGTGCATCTTGCTGGCCAGGACACTCTCCTGCAGTGGTTTTTACGTAGCCTGTTGTTGAGCTGTCGATATGGACAGGTGTATGGTCACCTCGTGGAGCCTGATGAGTCCCACCTCACAGATGCTGGCCCTGGCCCTGGCCCTGGTCGGTTAGCAGAGCAGGCAGCTGGTGTAGGGGGGTGGTCAGCACACACCTGTAATCCCAGTGGCTTGGGAGGCTGAGGCAGGAGGATTGCAAGTTCGAGGCCAGCGTCAGCAACTTAGCCAAACCCTATCTCAAAATAAAAAATAAAAAGGGCTGGGGATGTGCCTCAATGTTAGAGTGTCCATGGATTCCAAAAGAGAAGAGCAGGAGCTACCCCTCTGGCCCTCCTGCCCAGTGCCCTTGGGACCCGCCTCCCACCTCCTGGCGAGGCAGGTCTGACCTGCTGTAAGGGGGATTGCACAGCTAGGGTCTTCCTCGACCCGCGTTTCCCTCTGCATTATGCTGTGAGGTCCGCCTCATGGCTGTGTGCTGGGTACCACTGTCGGGCGGCTGAAGCAACAGAAATCCACGTTCTGGTGCAGGAGCCTGGAAGTCTGAGGCCAAGGTGAGGTAGAGTCCGTTCTCCAGAGAACACCTGCTTGGCCTTTAGATGGCACCTTCTCCCTGTCCTCCCACACCAGCCCCCTCACCTCCACCTTACCTGTCTCAACCCCATTCTGAGGTGCTGGGGACCTGCACTAGGAGATTCTGGGAGGCACAGCTAAGCCTACGACAGGGGCTGAGGACACTTATCGCCACTGCTGGGAAAATCGGCCACTTGGAAAACCTCTGACTCCTGTACACTGGGCATGCATTCTCCCTTGTGCCCTGGCTCTGATGTCCCCACCCAGCAGCCACATGGATGGGTGTGAACCACTTGTCCCGCACTGCTGCATGGCTCCCCTCAGAGTTGGTGCCATCGTACCCTGGGATCTGTTTCCCACAGACGTGAAGCAGTGTTTTAAGTGCCCTGAGACCGCTGCGTGCCCAGGACAGAGACCTTCCTGATTTGACGGACCCCTGGGACTCATGCTGGCCGTGCAGCAGTCCTGCTGGCTGGCCTGGCAGTGCTGGTCCTTGGGGTGTTCCTGAGGCACCAGGACACACCCACGGTCAGGGCCAACAACAGAGCCCTCAGCTAGGTGCTGCTGGCCTCCTTGGTGCTCTGTGCCCTGTGTCCCTTGCACCGCTGTCACCTGCCTCCTCCGCCAGACCACCTTTGCTGTTGTGTTCACTGTGGCTCTTTCCTCCGTCCTGGCCAAGACCCCTACTGTGGCCCCAGCCTTCAGAGTCACCAGGCCGGGGTCCAGGGCCCGGGTGTGCCTAGGACGCCGTGCCTCCTCCTCAGTGGTCCCCATTGCCTCCCTAACACAGGCTGCTCTCTGTGGGGTGTGGCTGGGCACCTCCCCACCATTCCCAGACAGGGACTTGGACTCTGAGCCCAGTCTCATCGTCCTCCGGTGCCAGGAGGGCTCCGGCATCGCCGTCACCTCTCTGCTGGGCTCTCTGGCCTCCTCGGGGGGGACACCTTCTCTGTGGCCTTCCTGGCTAGGGGTCCGCCTGATGCCTTCAGTGAGGCCCAGTTCCTGACCTTCAGCATGCTGCTGCTCTGCAGGGTCTGGACAGCCTTCCTGCCCCCGTGCCGCAGTGCCCAGGGCAAGTCCACTGTGCGGTGGAGACCTTCTCCATCCTGGCCTCCTCTTCAGGGCTTCTGGGGAACCTTCATCCCCAAGTGCCACGTCATCTTGCTGAGGCCTGAGCAGAACACCCTGGCCTGGCTGAGGCAAGGACACGGGCTCAGCGGGAAAGGCAGGGCCAGGTGCCCCGGAGGAGGTGTTCCCGCAGGCCAGCCCCCGCAGCCTCTAGAACCCTCTTCACTGAAGACACCAGGGTGGCATGTCTGGGGCTCATCATTTCTGTGAGGATCCAGAGACTTAATGGTCAAGAGAGAAGTGAGGCACACAGGCCAGGTGCTGATGACTGTTGGAATTAGGACGGGCACCTGGTCAGTCCTGGGCGGTCCTCTTGGTATGTAGTGCTCAAAATTTTCATGATTAAAAATGTTTGGAAAGGGCAGTGAAGTGAGGAGGAGGAGGAGGAGGAAGCACGTGGGAGGATGTGGGAGTCTGTTGGTGCCAATGCAGAATGGAAACCCGTCTGTCACTCCTTGAAAGGTCAAGTGTAGACTTACCATGGGACCTGGTAATTCCACTCCTGGGCGGAACGGGGAGAAACGAAAACATATATGAAAGGTGTAAATGAAGGTCTGGAGAAGCATTCAAACCAAACAGGCTTCCCCGGGCGGGCCGGGCGGGGGGGTGATGACTAAGGGGTGCAGCATTTATTTCTGGGGTAATGAAATTGTAAAATTCATTTTGGTGGTTTTGCACAAGTCTGAATATACAAAAAAA